ACTACTACTACTACTACTACTACTACTACTACTACTACTACGACTACTAGTACTAGTACTACTACTACACTACTACTACTACTACTACTACTACTACTACTACTAGTACTAGTACTACTACTACTACTACTACTACTACTACTACGACTACTACTACTACTACTACTACTACTTCTTCTACTACTACTACTACTACTACGACTACGACTACCACGATTACCACTACGACGATGACTAGTACGACTACTACTACTACTACTACTACTGCTACTGCTGCTGCTGCTGCTGCTGCTGCTGCTACTAGTATTATTACTACTACCACTACCACCACTACTACTACTCCTACTCCTACTACTACTACTACTACCACTACTACTACTACTACTACTACCATTAATACTACTACTATTATTGCTACGTCTACGACTACGACTACTACTACTACTACTACCACCACTACTACTACTACTACTACTACTACTACTACTACTACTACTACTACTACTACTACTACAACTACAACTACAACTACAACGACTACTACTACTACTACTACTACTACTACTACTACTACTACTACTACCGCTACTGTTACTACTACTGTTACTACTACTACTACTACTACTACTACTACTACTACCGCTTTTGTTACTACAACTACTACGACTTCTACAGCTGAAGCTATTCTGTTTAGAACAAGCACCAATTTCAACAGCAACAACAGCAACAGCAACAGCAGCAGCAACATTAACAATAGTCTCGCTTCTCGGTCCCCTATGAGTCCCAAGACAACCCCGAGAGGACGCTTCAAGGGTTCAAGAGGACACCCAAGAGACCCTGAGAGGTCCCCAAGAAACCCCAACATACCTCAAGAAGCGCCCGAGAGGACCCCATCAGGCTCGAAGAAACCGCCCCCCCTCTTCCGCCCTCTCCTTGCGGTATAGGAGACCCCTCCGTGAAAGCTCCAAGAGGGCCCGAGAGGTCTCCGGGTCACCCAGAGATGGTGCTGCAGCATCTCCAGGTGACCCAGAGACTGTTCGGAACCCTCTAGGGGTTTCCTCGGGGCCCTCTTGGGGCCTTCCTGAGCGCTCCCAAGCCGTCCTGGAGCTCCCCAAGAAAGCTCCAAGAGGGCCCCGAGAGGTCTCCGGGTAACCCGGAGATGGTTTTGCAGAATTTCCGGATGGTCCCGAAATTTTTCAGGACCCTATTGGAGTCTTCTCGGGGCCTCCTTGGGGCCCCAGCAAGCCCTCAAGAGGCCCCCGAAGGGCCCCCCAAGACGCCCTAAGAAGCCCCAAGAAGTATCAACATATCTCAAGAGGCGCCCCAAAGGCCCTATCAGGCCCCGAGAAACCCCCAGCATGCTCCCAAGAGGCCCCCAAAAGGGCTCCCAAGAGGCTCGCTGGCCCTTCTCCCCGTCGTTTTCTTCCTTCTCCCCCTGGTCCTCGTTGCCCTTGTCGTCGTCGTCGCCGCTGTCCGCCTTTTCCTTTGGTCCCATATAAAGTAATTCTAGATTCTAGACGGCGGATCCCCACCAGCCCATCCAGAAACGATGTCCAGGCGAGTTGGGAGGTGATCAGGGAAGTGCGGGAGCAAAGAGGGGGACGGCCGAACCGTGTGAAGGAGAGAGGGGGCGAAGGAGAAGATTGGATGGATGGATGAGGGAGTGGGGAGACAGAGGATGAATAGGATGAGGAGGAGGAGGAGGAGGAGGAGGCGGAGGGGGAGCAGGAGGATGAGAAGGGATAGGAGGAGGAAGGAGGAGGAGGAGGAGAGCAAGCAAAAGGGCAAGAGGTCTCTTGGATGCTTCTCGGAGCCTCTTGGGGTATCTCTTGGGACGTCTTGGGGATCTCTAGGCGGTCGTGGGGGGCTCTTCGGCGTCTTGGGTGCCTCGGGGGCGGCTCTTTGGGCCGCTTGGGATCCTTTTGGGGGCCTCTTGGGGGCCTCTTGGGGGCCTCTTGGGGCCATCTTGGGGCCATCTTGGGACCTCTTGGGGCCTCCTGGGCGCTTCTTGGGGCCATCTTGGAGGAGATCGATCATCAAACAAGAAGTGAGCTTTAATTAGGGTCCCCCCCTCAGGAGGCCAAAATGGGACCAAAACCCTACTAAAACCAATGATTTTGGCTTCCTCGCCGAGGCCGTTTTGGACACTCCGACGACTCGCGGAACCCCTTGTCCAGGTCCAGGGGAGGAGGTAGGGGGAGGGGTAAACCCCTCCCCGAAAGGGAAGAAGGAGGGATGGAAGAGGAAACTCTCTAAACCACCTACGCCCAGAGGGCTGGTGGGATTTTGCCACCGAGGAACCCCACATGCTCATATTATGTCTGGGTTGATGATAGCTGAAGTGAAACATGCGAGAATGATGCTGGTGGCCGTTGCAACGCCGATACCGTTGGCGGCGCCGGTCAAGAGGAGAGGACGTCACCGAGGGTCCTTTCCTCGGGGGTGGACAGACCTCCTACCCTGACACGTCGATTAAGGAATTGGCCGTTTTCGGTTCGCGACAGGGCGTCGCGGCCCTCATTTTTGCGGGTCCAGGTCCGCTGGTTTCGGCCCCTGGTCGTTTTCACTAAAGGGAGGTTTACTAAAAGGGAGGTTTGTCCACCGCCGATTTTCCAGGGCGGCAAAAGGCACTTCGGTCACGCAGGATACGGAACGAGATCTTCGTCGAAAAGCATCCGACAGCTCCCAACTCGCAAACATGAGAAAATCCTTTGGACGGAGAGTCTCCGGGAGCGCTCTTCGAACGAGAATCTCTGAGCGGGGGCCGCGCCTGTGCGCATGCCCATCGCAGACTCTGTCAGCGAGAGAGCGCGCAGCGCTATGGCCTGATTGAAAGCGGGCGTAACGGTTTCTCCGCACCCACGCAGCTTCAGGTTTGCTCTGGATTTCCTGATGATATCCGGCTCTTTTCGATCCATACTTGCATCAGTGTCTCCCACGTGCGCTTGCTGTCCAGGGCGTGGACCGAGGTCTTCGGGTCGGGGCTCACTGGCCAATCGTGATCGGGCGACGCCACCCTCATCTCGGTCATCCGCTTGTAGCACCCAGCGTGCTCGTGCACCTGCGGCAGCGGAGGGCGCGATCGGTGTCTCTGAAGCTGGGTCGCTGGACCCGGGGACAGCTGAATGCGAGGCGTAGGGCCGCCGTGAGGGACCACCCCCTGCGCACCCCCTTATGGTGTCGAGAAAGTGCCACGCCTGCCGCGCTCTCAGACCCTGGCACACATAGAGGCCGCCGTGAGGGACCACCCCCTGCGCACCCCCTATGGTGTGGAGAAAGTGCCACGCCTGCGACGCATTCCGAATCTTGCGCGCATGTGCTGTGTGGTGTGCGTGTCATGTGTATAATGCGTGCGCAGCTGTATCTGGGCGTGCGTGTGTCTCATGTGGGTGCCCAGTACGTGTTATGTGTATGATGCGTGTGCGGATGTATATGAACGTGTGTCTCATGTGGGCGCCCAGTATGTGGCGCACACGTCGTGGGTGTGTGATGCAGTGAACACGCCAGGCGTGCGCTGGCGTTGTTAGTGTGTGTGTGTGTGTGTGTGTGTGTGTGTGTGTGTGTGTCCGCGCGCGTGTCTTGTGTTTTGCGTGCCTTGTGCATGTGTGCGATGTGTGTGTATGTGTGTGCGGCTGTGTGTGGACGCATGTCTCAATGTGGGTATGCGTGTGCGTCTGCATGTACGTTTTGTGTATTGTATGCTTTGTGTATGTGTATGATGGCTGCATGTGGACGTGCGTATCATGTGGCTGCCCAGTATGTGGCGCATACGTCTTGCTGTATGATACCGTCGACACGCCAAGCGCGCACTGGCGTTGTATGATGTGTGCGCGAGTGTGTGTGTGTGTGTGCATACGTGCCGCTGCATGTGACGTGTGTCTCATGTACGTGTCGTGCGTGTGTAGCGCGTGGGTGAGTGGAGGAAGGAAGAGGAGGAGGAGAGGAGAAAAGGCGGTGAGAGAGGAAGGCGCGGGCGCGACGAGGCAGGAGGAGGGGTGAGGAGGCGGAGGAACGCGGGTGGGACGCGGGAAAGAAGAAACCATATCCCCACCAAGCATGTGGGGGAAAAAAACGAATCCCGAACACAAGCCGAATCCATCCATTCTCTGATTGCGTATACGCCCCCCTGGCCAAGCCAGGAGGGCGTGGCGTACACACCGTTGTTTATGTATGGTATAGAATTCGTCGCCCTAACCTGGGAGTCGTAGCTGTCGTCAGCAGGGGCGGTCGTTGTCTGGTCGTCTTCTGGGGGGGGTGCTCGAGATGTTGATGTTTTCTTCTGCTACAGACACAGTCGCACTCGACGATTATATCACATCTCACCAAATAGTTTTGCCCATCCAGCTTTGCCACACGCGCTCGGTTGATTTAGCTGCCTTTCGAAGTTCTAGGCCTGCCGTAGTTCATAGCACGTGACAAGAGGCGTCGGAATGAAAGATCTTTTCGAACAACACAAAACAGGAACCTCAATTCCCAAAGTCACCCCCCCCGACCCGAGCTGCACGGTCTTCGTTTCCCCGATGTCAGGCTGGAGTTACGTTGCCGTTTTTTTCAGGACCTTCGGGCAGAGATCTTGTGCGGGTGCTCGTGAGAGCTTGCTGTGGTCGTTTCTTGGATGCAGGCGCTGTACTTGGCAGTCATGTGAGCGGCATTCCAAAGTGCACAACGTAGTACGTACCTGGCACTATACGTACTTGGTTCGATGCCTCCGAGGGCCGCGACTCAGGGTGGCCCGCCCGTTGGCTCGAACCCAGCCCCAGAGTGCGGAGCTCTGGGCGCTATCTTCGTGCAGGACCCCCCCCACACAACGCGCCGGTGCGCCAGGGGTGGTCACCTTGTGGGGAGGCCTTTGACCTCTGGATTCGTCCGTAGATTCCCAGGAACCGCCCCCTCTCCCCCTCCCCCCCCACTGCCCCTGGGTCGGTCAGTGCGGCGCGAGCGGTCGGGAGGGCTCGGCGCGGGGTCCGTCCCACAGGGGCGCTGCAGGGTGAGGGCAACAGGTGCCGCTGGGCCCCTCGCCGGCTGGGCCAGAGGGCGCAGAACGCTGGCGGCAGCACTGCGGGCACTGCCCGCGCTGCCAGAGGGCCCTGCAGCTCGCGGAGAGCCTCCGCGCCGGCTGCGCGTCGGCCAGCGCAGCGGCGCTGCTCGTGGCGGCGGTCCTCGGGCTGGCGGGCTCCGCAGGCCCAGGCGCCCTCGTGCTCGCCGCCGCCGCGGCGCTCGAGGCCGTGGCGCAAGGCGCCGTCGGCCTGCAGGAGCGATGCCCATAGGGCGGGCACGGCGGCACGGTGCCGGGCCCCGGCTTTTCCCGCCTCAAGTCCGGCCCGGGTGGGCGGCACCGGGAGAGCGGGGGGGGGCAGAACACGTGAGGGGACCGAGGGTTCCAGGAAAGAGTGGCCGGAACTAACGGCCCCGAAACTGCCACCGTGGGCCCAGACTGTGCACGAGAGGTGCACGATTCTTCATCCCCCCGCGTGCCCCTCGTTAACGAGCACCCGACTGGCACCCACCGCGAAGCCCAGGAGGCGTGCTCGGAGAGCGCTCGGCCGGGGGCCTGGGGCCTCCCACTCCTATAGCAGCGAAGCCTCGCCGGGAAAGTGACAGGGAAAATATTGCCACGACGACGACGACGAAAACGGAAAAGCGTGTCACACACGCCGAAGGGTCGGCGGATTCCGGGGTGCCCCGCGATCGTTCCAGGCGGCCTCGTGCGGGCCGTGGCCAGAGTGAGGGCGGCTGCGGCGTGCCCTCTTGCTGGCTGGGGGAACCACTGGGCGGGAAGGTAGCTTGCCTGCAGTGACCTTGCTGCATTTCCCTTCCCCCCGCTCCCCAGTGGTCGACTAGGGGATCGACTACACAATATGTAGAAAGCTCGCAGCTCGACGAGACAATCAATGTTGGGATGCATCAATCATATAGGCGATCCCCGACTCGAAATGGCGGCAGGGAGGGTCCCCTCTTCCCTTCGATTTACTTTTCCCTTCCCCTTCCTACGCGGCGGGGGATTCCTGGTCGCAGGGCGAGTCGTCTTCTCGGCCCTGCACAGGAGGGCCTTCTCGGCCAGAGCGGGGGATCTAAGTGAGGCGCCTCGGGGGCTGCGGCTGCCGGCGAGGGAGAGCGTGGTGCCCTGAGGCGCGGGGAAATGAGCGAAGATCTGCGGGCGTAGCTTTGCGTCGAGGATGCGGCAAAAGGCGAGGACTGGCTTTGTAATCTACTCAGTTACATGCGGCAAGTCAGCATGCATCGATGCAGGACGGTTCGTCCGAGCTCTCCCGAGGGGATCGGGAAGCCGGGGGGTTGCGGAGGTTCCATGGGCCTTGGGGACGGTCGGGGGCCTGGAAGGAAAGTAGTAGTAGGTAGAACCATTTTGGGGCCTTGAACCACTGAAGCTCACCAGCTGTAGTGTCGGCGTTGAGGTGTGCGCTCCTCGATTCGGCGATCTTCGACCTTGTGAAACCTCAGAGAAGTGGCACGCCAGTGACCGTTTTCTCGCACCCGGCGGAAGCCGCAGTACAGTGCAAGCCGCTACGGAGCAGATCTCTCACCGCGCAGAGCAGTACAATGCATTCGATCCCTTGCCCGCGTGTGACACCCAACTGGCGACCGCATGGCGACACAGAAAATAGGCCATTCGCCAGTCACCCCAGCAGTTTTGGTTCGAGCCTCCGCGCGAGGGAGCGTTGTACGAGACCCTGTTGCCGCCCCTCGGGCGACCCGAGCCATGCAGCGCGGAGCTCGCCGATCCCCCCTGGTCCTCCGCGCGGCCTGCTGCGCAGCGCTGCTGGCTGCGCTCCTTTCAGTGCCGTCGTGGAGCTTCACGGCGCCCAGGGCCACCGCCGCGGCCAGCGGCAGGGCCTCTGGGGGCCTGGCGGGCAGGCCAGCGCCGGGCGGCCAGGTCGCGGCTCTCACCGGCCCCCCCCGCGCGGGTGTGTCTGCCGCCGCAGGCTTCTCGCTGCCGACCCCGCAGAGGAAGTTTCGGCACGAAGCCAGAACGGGTCCTGAGGCTTTTCGCCGTCTTCAGCTTCCCGGGGCCTCCACGGGCCCCAGGACTGAGAACGATTCAGGGCGAGAAGCTGGTCCTCAGGGAATCCAGTCCCCGCCTGAGGACCCGTTTGCTTCATGCCAAAAAGGAAGGGCGTGGATTTCGCCCTGCTCGCCTACTTCTTCTTCTGGTACCTGGGCAACTACTATTACAACATCACGAACAAGCTCGCCCTGAACGCCGCTGGGGGCGCGACTGGCTTCCCCATGTCGATCGCTACCATGCAGCTCGGCTTTGGCTGCATCTGGGCGCTGTTCCTGTGGGGCTACCCGGACGCGCGCGCCCTGCCAAAGATCAGCTTCGACGACTGGAAGGCCACGCTGCCCGTAGGCTTCTGCTCCGCGGCCGCCCACGCCTTCTCCGTGTTCGCCCTCTCGGCTGGGGCCGTCTCCTTCGGCCAGATCGTGAAGGCCGCGGAGCCGGCTTTTGCGGCGTTGATCGGGACCGCATTCTATGGCTCCAAGGTGAGCACCGCCAAGTGGTTGTGCTTGATTCCGGTGATCGGTGGCGTGGTCCTGGCGTCTCTGGGCGAGCTGGATTTCGCATGGGCCGCACTGTTCACGGCGGCTCTCGCCAACGTTTTCGCCGCGTTCAAGGCGAACGAGAACAAGAAATTGATGGACACGGCGGGCCTGAAAGACCGCTTGGGCAGCGTGGGTAATCAGTTTGCGATCACGAGTATCAACTCGTTCCTCTTCTGCCTCGTGCTCATGTTCGCCACCGAGGGGAAAAAGTTTGGTGCCTTCCTCCAACTCTGCAAGACGAGCAAGATCGTCCTGTGGAACATGATCGCGTCGGGCTTGTGGTTTTACGCCTACAACGAACTCGCAACAATGACCATCAAGAAGACGAGCGCAGTTACCCAGTCTGTTGCTAACACCGCGAAGCGCGTCATTGTTATCGTGGGCGTTGCTATCATTCTCGGGGAGAGCCTTGACCCACTGAAGCTGATTGGCTGCGGCATCGGCATCGGCGGCGTGTTCCTCTACTCTATCATCGACGACCTCGTCAAGTCCAAGTAGTGAGGCGTCGCGTGGCGCCAACGATGCCTAATTAGGCACTGCAGTTGCGCCGCCCGACTTCGAGACTCACGCCAGGTCACCACGTATTTAATGGCTGATGCTCAGGGTGTCGCTCCTCATGTTGAAAAAGAAACACCGAAACACCGACGCGTGATATGCCTTAGATGGTTGGTCGGTTGGCGCTGTTGAGGAACATTGTTATACATAGAGGGTTTCGTTTTTCACGGAAAGGGCTCCGGCCCAGGGTTCTCATTTACTAGTGTAACTCTCCCTGGTGTCATGCTGGTGGTGAGTTGGATCTTTTCTTTGATATGATACCCCGAGCGAAACGCTTGTGTTTGAAATTCCGATCGAAAAGACAAAGGGTATAGCTGACATGTACGTTTGTTGCGGATGTCTCGAGCGAAACGCTTCGTTTGCAGAACGTGTTGTCGAGGGAAACTTCTGTTTTGTCCTATATTTTACCCCTCGTCTGGGGCTCGAGCCTTTCGAGTTTTACGTATGTTCCAATCGTTTGCCCCCCTCTCTTGCGGTTCGAACCCGTAGCGTTTTATGTGTATTTCTATACGTTGACTCTCTCCTGGGGCTCGAACCCTGCGCATTGTATTCGTATTGCTTTAGATTGTCATGCTCCTAGGGCTAGAGTGCTTTGTGTGTTACGCGTATTCCTGTATATTGCCTCCCTCACAGGGCTCGAGTCCTTAGTTTTTTCGTGCGTTCCTATTGATTGTCCTTCTCCTGGGGCTCGAATCTGTCGCGCGTGTATTCCTATAATTTGCCCCTCTCCTGGGGCTCGAGTCCTCGGGTTTTACGTGTACTCCTATATATTGTCCCTTTCCTGGGGCGCGAGTCCACGCGTGTTACGTGCACTCCTATACATTTATAACTATCTAATATATTATATTATATATATCCCCTCTCCTGAGCTTGGATTCGTGGTGGTTTACGCGTATTCCTGCAGATTGTCCCTCTCCTGGGGCTCGATTCCGGATTGTTTTTCTGTTTTTGGGGTATGCGCTCTCTAGATTGCCCGCCGAAGCCATGTGTTTGCACATGGCCCCTGCAGTCTCGTCCCGTGGCCCCTGTCGTCTCGCCCCTGCGTATCCCCCAGTGCGCCCTCAGCACATCCCGTGGCGCGTCCATGCGCCCTGCGCCCCGTGTCGTGTCGTTCCCCTTCGGACTTGAGTCGGATCTTGAGCTCGAGCTGATGGAGGGTCCGCTTCGAATGCAACCAGCTCTGAGCCAGCTGTGCGCTCAGTCAGCTCGAGCTTGAGATCCAGATCAATTCGGTCAGGATTCGGATGACAAGGGCGGCATGACATCTCAGTTCAGCACGGCAAAGCACGCAAAGCAAAACACAACTTTTGGCACGGTACATCGTGATCGATAGCTTCAGCATTGCAATTGCCCGTGGCCCAGTCAGGTGTCCCGAAAACGTTGCCATGCCTTGCCATTCGGGTCGATCATGCTATCAGTTGTGGCTGGGCAGAGTCCTGCGTCGGCCAATGAGAGAGGCGCGAGCATTACTTAAGTTGAAGAGTTCTGGAACATCAGGCAAGAGGACATCATCCAGTCAGCATCATAATTTCGCGTAAGGGGCTTTGGCAACAACGTGCATGTCGATTCGGCTGCAGCGTAAACCTATCATCGACTCACACTGCGGTAGTCTCAGGCAATGACACCCTCCATGGGGCTGGGCATGGCCTCGTGTGTGCGGTACGGTGAGATTGTCGAACCAGTCTCTACATGAATGGCATTGTCCGGATTACTTTGGTGAGTTAGTATGGCCAGCGCCTCGCCGCTGAGCCGGCCACAGAGTTCGCCCTCATGCCCGCGACAACGTTTCTTCCAAGTTTGCAGGTGAGCTCATGTCTGCGTCCGCGGCTAGGCTGGCCATGGTGTCGCCAAACCCGCAGATGAGTGTGCCGATAACCCAGGTTCCTACAGCCTACTACGACTCAATTTGCCGCTGCGTCCACACTCCGAGTCCCTGACATTGCACTTGACTGCATCTCACCCGCCGCTGAACCTGCGATTGAACCGGAGGCTGAGTCAGTGGCAAAGCAAGTTGTTCAGTGAAGACGGGCTATTGTTTCGGGCTCCTCCTGCGACAGATCGCGGATCAAGGCGACACACACTTATTTTTCATCTTCTCCAGTGAAGGTTTCGTTGATTGCTCGAAAGAGCGCTTTGGGGCTACAGCACTCTTTTGTGCCATAGCTCGGAACCAGCGAGGTGCAGGTTGCTGGCGACATTCTTGACATCCTCCATCAATAGCCCCTGCGGGTCCGGACGGTCCGTCCCATCCGTGAGGCACTTCGAGGGTCAGGTCTATCGATCCACGCCTTTCTCCTCAGGACCACCGTCAGCCCTTCAGCCCAGCTTCATGATTTGGCTATTCCCCTCGAACCGACCTCACGGGAGATGGTCTCACCTTCGGGGAGGGGTTGAGCTAGCTGTGACAGCTCATCAAGCCGCCGCAGCCCGGCCAGGCGCCCTCCCTCATCGAGGTGATCTTCGCCGCGTCCTTCCACTTCTCCTCGCGGCTGCTTTCATTCGGCACCGCCACGAGCGACGGTGCGTGCCAAGAAGGACCGTGCGCCCCTTGAGTAGGGAGCGTCGATCCTCCAGAGCATCCAATCTGGTGCTGCCCGTTTACGCAGGCAGAAAGGTGTTCGCTGGAACCTTCGAGTCTAAGGGTGCGATATTGTGTTGGGGAGTCTTTGTTGTTCCCTTTGGGGCAGCGATCTGATCAAGGAGGGTGGGTTGCACGAAGATCATTGTCGCGGGCCCGCGATTCATGGCATAATAACGGTGGTTCAGCGGTCGATATTCGGAGCATCAACCGTTGCTGGTTTTCACAAGAGGTTTCTTTGGAAGCGAGAACGGTTGGCACTCCCACGAGAGCCAGTGGAGATTCCGCGGAAGTGTGCGAGAGTTGCTTGAAAACGCAGTTGCCCTGGCAGACACCAGGGGAATATTGGTGGAAACAGACGCGTTCACACAATAGTTGTCAGGGGAGGCTAATGCCAAGGTCCTTGGGGTCTCCGACGCCGAAGGAACGTGCTTTGCGTTTGGCACTCGCACTGACGACACATTGGGCAGTCATACACTGATGTGTTGCCTCTCCTGCTCCTCCCCTTTGCGGGTTGCTCTTCGCTGGCGTGTTTGGATCATCTTCCGATTACCATTCACCAGTTCCGTTGCTTTCAGGCGGATGACAGGGAGGAGGGGAGAGATGATGACCAGGAGTTCTCATTGATCGGACGGGTTCTTGAGTGGGCTCTCGCGGCCGTCCAGAAGGTCATTGTCAAATTGACGATCGCATATCAGGCGCAGTTGAAGCTACATAGAGGCTGTCTGTGGCAGGAGTCATGTTTTCAACGACTTCATCTGGAATGCTAGCCCCGCCCTCGCCACGGTGGATTTGGGTTTGGGCCGTTCCAGCCAGCCACCACTGCCCTCTTCTTCCTCCTCCTCCTCCTCCTCCGCCCAAGATGTCTCGGCGGCGTACCCAGGGAAGGAAGGCAGAGGGGCAGGCCTTCTCGGAAGGCTGGGAAGGCCTCCGACCTTGTGAGGAGCTCCCTGAGCCTCCTCCGGCTCTCCGCCGCCTTCTGATAAGGCCTTCCCTCTTTCGTTCCCCCCCCCTTCGGCGCGCCGCCGAATGGCTTTTGCGCGAGCCGCTCCAGCTCGTCAGCCTGCCACATCTGAAGCGATCGAACACAGATCGGGCCTGCCAGGGCACGGGGGCCACCACTGGCCTTCCCAGCCCTTGCCGCTGCAAGCACGAGCCTGGGGGAGGGTCTTCTTGGCAGGCCGCCGAGCTCGTGGCCCTCCCGGGCGGCCCAGACCACGCCCCGATTCGCCGCAAGTCTGATGCTTTCGGAGGTGAGGCCGGGGAAGGCGGACAGAGAGGGACTCCCCTTCTCCCTCCTCGCACGGACTCGCCCGCCATAGCCTTCAACGATACCCCCGGGGGGTTGCTCCTGAATCTGCATTCATTTGGGAACAGAGCCTCGCTCTCGTCTGGCCCGCCCGCAAGCCTTGAGCCCCCGACACCCAGGACTGCCCCTGGGCAGCGGACGGTTCCGCCTTCTGGCCAGGTTTGTATTGAGCTTCGTCAAGGGGTGGAAAGTCACCCCGACCCCCATGAGTAGGGCTGAGCCAGTTCTTGGCGTGCACCTTCTTTAGGGACTTTATTTACTGAAGAGCTTCGCTAGTCAGGGTGCTTCTTCTGCCCTCTACTTCGCTCCCCCGCAGTTCTCGACCTCGACGGGCCCCCGATATTCCCAGGTTTTCCTGGGACAAAGATGCTGCTGCTGTTGCTGCTGCTGTTGCTGCTGCTGCTGCTGCTGATGATGATGATGATGATGAGGATGATGATGATGATGATGATGATGATGATGATGATGATGATGATGATGATGATGATGATGATGATGATGATAAGGAGGAGGAGGATGAGGAGGAGGAGGAAGAGGAAGAAGAGGAGGAGGAGGAGGGAGAAGATGAGGGCTCCGGGAAAACGGATGCGCGTATTCTCTATTCTCTCTCTTGCGCGCGTTGGCAAGAGCATCAATGAACCTCCTCAGCTTGGCTGTATCACCTCTTCCCATCTGGACCATTCCGATTGTTCTTCTTTCGTGTTCAGTTTGTTCTGTTCTGGTCCATCCAGCCACGAGCCGTCCTGATTCAGGCTTCCCTCTTCTGCCCATGCGGCCACCTTGAACACGGGGTCTTTGCCGGGGGGGGCGCGTGGACTGATGGAACGGCCCGCACGGCCTCGGCGGGTTCGGGGCTTGCTGCGCCCGCCCACTGAGCCCTTGGACCAAACGGAGGAGGAAGGGATTGCTCAAGGGTCGAGGGCGGCTCAGGGGCCTGGAAGAGTTGATCAAGAGGAGGAGGAGGAAGAGGAGGAGGAGGAGGACCAGTGTAAACTCAAGAGTCATCAACGATCTTGGAATACACCCTCCCTCCAAGCTCCCTCTTCATAGGCCCCC